TTATCCTCAACTAAGATGGGGTGTCGGGTGCATGGTTTTAAGCTGAGAAGACGGCGGAGGCGGGGACGAGGCCGGAGCGCTTGTCCTCAACCAATATGGTGTCCCAGGTGCATGCTCCCAAGCACGAGACTTCAACCTCAAGAAGAACGAGGCCGGGACGAGACTGGAGGGCGTATCCTCAAAGAATATGCGGTCCCAGGTGCATGTTCCCAAGCGCGAGGCCTCAAATTCACAATCACAAGGCCTGGACAGGCGTACACTTCATAAGTCGTCGTGATGAAGGGATCGCACAGTCAGCTATGCGCACATGTTCTAGACTAGTCGGATCATGGACCGGTGGCTTTGAAAGGGAGGCAAGCGAACCTGTGGCACAGCTGCAACTGGGGCTCAGGCGTGCGGTATAAACCAGTAGTACACGACAACTCGACGCGATGGATACAGCGGTACTCTTCAGTGCCTTAATCTGCACTTGCTGGACAGCGGCAAAGAGATGGACACGTCTACCCCACAACGTGAAGCTGGCCATTTCAAACTTCACGAGACGCTCGGATTGGGCACTGAGGCTAAGGCACTTAGCGCTGATTGGTGCACTCTCCAGATACCCGATGCTGGCTTCGAGAGCCACAGACGACTTCGACTTTGGCCGGCGACTCCAATGCCTTTCAGTCCAAGATCTACAAGGGCTTCCGAGAAACACCAAGAAGGCCATCCGTCTCTGCATCATGAACCTTCGGGCTTTCGAGAAGAAGAAGAGGCAGAAGGAGAAGACAGAGCTCCGGAAGCAGAAGCAGGAGGAACTCCTGAAACGGAAGCGTGAAGCAACAAAGATTGTGGTCGAGCGCGCGGCTGAAGCTCTGATAATGATCAGAGAACATATTCGCCGTACGACACCTAGCTGAAGAGCATTGTTTCACACGTGACACAGCAATAGCACGGGAAGAAAGGTGAGTTGCGAGAATACATAGATCGTCTTACGTCAGTGTCCGGTGACATTATCTGCAAGCACGATGGGATTGCGAGGCTTGCCTGAAGAAGACAGAAGCAAGGACACGGCCGGGAGGGCTTATCCTCGACCAATATGGGGTTCCGAGATCTGGAAGCTCAGGCTGAAGAAGACGGAGGCGAGGACAAGGCCGGGAGGGCTTATCCTCAACCAATATAAGGTTGCAAGGCGTGAGAGCTCAAGCTGAACGAGATGGATGCAAGGACACGGCCGGGAGGGCGTAACCCCAACCAATAAGGGGTTCCGAGGCGTGGGATCTCAAGCAGAACACGGCGGAGGCGAGGACGAGGCCGGAGCACTTATCCTCAACCAAGATGGAGCTTCAGGTTCTCAAGCAGGAGACGGCGGAGGCGGGGACGAGGCCGGAGCACTTATCCTCAACCAAGATGGGGTGTCAGGTGTGTAGTCTCAAGCCGAGAAGACGGCGGAGGCTGGGACGAGGCCGGAGCACTTATCCTCAACCAAGATGGGGTTTCAGGTGCATGGTTTTAAGCTGAGAAAACGGCCGAGGCGGGGACGAGGCCGGAGCGCTTCTCCTCAACCAACATGGGGTCCCAGGTGTGTAGTCTCAAGCCGAGAAGACGGCGGAGGCTGGGACGAGGCCGGAGCACTTCTCCTCAACCAACATGGGGTCCCAGGTGTGAAGTCTCATCCCGGAGAAGGAGGAGGCGGGGACGAGGCCAAAGCGATTATCCTCAACAAATCTGGGGTCCGAGGTGCGTGATCTCAGCCCGAAGAAGAAGACGGAGGCGGGGAGACCGCAGCACTTCTCCTCAACCAACATGGGGTCCCAGGTGTGAAGTCTCATCCCGGAGAAGGAGGAGGCGGGGACGAGGCCAAAGCGCTTATCCTCAACCAATATGGGGTCCTAGGTGCGTGTTCAGACAGCCCGAAGAAGGCGGAGGCAGGGACCGGGCCGGAGCGCTTATCCTCAACCACTATGGTGTCCCAGGTGCGTGGTCTGGCAGCCCGAAGAAGGGGGAGGCGGGGTATCCTCAACCAATATGGGCTCGCAGGTGCGTGGTCTCACAGCCCGAAGAAGGCGGAGGCGGGGACGAGGCCGGAGCGTTTATCCTCAACCAAGATGGAGTTTCAGGTGCACGGTTTTAAGCTGAGAAAACGGCGGAGGCGCGGACGAGGCCGGAGAGCTTGTCCTCAACCAATATGGGGTTTCAGGGAAAGCGGAGGCGGGAACGAGGCCGGAGCGCTTATCCTCAACCAATGTGGGGTCCGAGGCGTGTGGTCTTAACCTGAGGAACGCAAGCCAGGGACCAAGATGGAGGGCTTATCCTCCACCAATATAGGGTCTCAGTCCGGGACGAGGCTGGAGGACTCATCCTCGAACCACATGGGGTCTCGGCTGCGTGGCCCCAAGTGAGGGTTCTCATTCTTTCGAAGACGGAGCCAAGGACAAGGCCGGGAGGGCTTATCCTCAATCAGTATGGGATTCCGAAGCGTGGGAGCTCAGCCTGAAGAAAGCATCTCTAGATTTAATGGTCCGCGGTGATCCCGGCGCTCAGTCTCCTGTGGTGACGAGGCCGGAGGGCTTATCCTCAACCAAGATGGGATTTCAGGTGCGTGGTCTGAAGCTGAGAAGACGGCGGAGGCGGGGACGAAGCCGGAGCGCTTATCCTCAGCCAATATGGGGTCCCAACCCGAAGAAAGCAGAGGCGGGGACGAGGCCAGAGCGGTTACCCTCAACCAATATGGGGTTCCAGATGTGACGTCTCGCAGCCCGAAGAAACTGGAGGCGAGGACGAGGCCGGAGCGCTTACCCTCAACCAATATGGGGTTCCAGGTGTGACGTCTCACAGCCCGAAGAAACTGGAGGCGGGGACGAGGCCGGAGCGCTTACCCTCAACCAATATGGGGTTCCAAGTGTGACATCTCACAGCCCGAAGAAAGTGGAGGCGGGAACTACGGGGTCCCAATCCGGAGAAGGCGGAGGCGGGGAAGAGGCCGGAACGCTTATCCTCAACCGATCCAGCACGCTTTTCCTCAACGTCCCAGGTGCGTGGTCTCAACCTGAAGAATCCGGAGAAGGCGGAGGCGGGGAAGAGGCCGGAACGCTTATCCTCAACCGATCCAGCACGCTTTTCCTCAACGTCCCAGGTGCGTGGTCTCAACCTGAAGAAAGCGGAGGGGACGAGGTCGGAGGGCTTATCCTCAACCAATATGGGGTCCCAACCCGAAGAAGGCGAAGGCGGGGACGAGGCCGGAGCGCTTATCCTCAACAAATATGGGGTCCGAGGTGCGTGATCTCAGCCCGAAGAAGACGGAGGCGGGGAGACCGCAGCACTTCTCCTCAACCAACATGGGGTCCCAGGTGTGAAGTCTCATCCCGGAGAAGGAGGAGGCGGGGACGAGGCCAAAGCGCTTATCCTCAACAAAGATGGGGTCCGAGGTGCGTGATCTCAGCCCGAAGAAGACGGATGGGTTTCCGAGGTGTGGAAGCTCAAGCCGAAGAAGACGGAGGCAAGGACGAGGCCGGGAGGGCTTATCCTCAACCAATAAGGGTTTCCGAGGTGTGGAAGCTCAAGCCGAAGAAGACGGAGGCGAGGGCGAGCCCGAGGGGCTTATCCTCAACCAATATGGGTTTCCGAGGTGTGGAAGCTCAAACAGAAGAAGACGGAGGCAAGGACGAGGCCGGGAGGGCTTATCCTCAACCAATATGGGTTTCCGAGCGGAGGCAAGGGCGAGGCCGGGAGGGCTTATCCTCAACCAATATGGGTTTCCGAGGTGTGGAAGCTCAAGCTGAAGAAGACGTAGACAAGGACGAGGCCGGGAGGGCTTATCCTCATCCAATAAGGGTTTCCGAGGTGTGGAAGCTCAAGCCAAAGAAAACGGAGGCAAGGGCGAGGCCGGGAGGGCTTATCCTCAACCAATATGGGTTTCCGAGGTGTGGAAGCTCAAGCCAAAGAAAACGGAGGCAAGGGCGAGGCCGGGAGGGCTTATCCTCAACCAATATGGGTTTCCGAGGTGTGGAAGCTCGCCGAAGAAGTCACAGGCAAGGACGCGCTCCTCCATCATGTCGCAGTCGGGCATACAGGTGCTCAGTCTCAGCGGGAACAACGTTGGAGGCGGAGACACGGACGAGTCCCGAAGGCTCGCATGCCGAGAGATTCGCCTATCCTCAACCAATACGGCGTCGCAGGTACTCCGGGAGCAAGGCCAGAGCGCTATGGGGCTCGGGGTCCGCGGTCCCAGCCCGAAGAAGGCCGCCGGAACGAGGCTGGAACGTTTATCCTCAACCACTGTGGGATTCGAGATCAGCAGCCCAGAAGCCGAAGAAGGCGAAGGCGGGGACGAGGCCGGATCGCTTATCCTCAACCAAGATGGGGTTTCAGGTGCTTGGTCTGAAGCTGAGAAGACGGCGGAGGCCGGAGCGCTTATCATCAACCAAGATGGGGTGTCAGGTGCATGGTTTGAAGCTGAGAAGACGGCGGAGGCGGGGACGAGGCCGGAGCGCTTATCATCAACCAAGATGGGGTCTCGGGTGCGTGGTCTCAAGCCGAAGACGGCGGAGGCGGGGACGAGGCCGGAGCGCTTATCATCAACCAAGATGGGGTCTCAGGTGCGTGGTCTCAAGCCGAAGAAGGCGAAGGCGGGGACGAGGCCGGAGCGCTTATCCTCAACCAAGATGGGGTGTCAGGTGCTTGGTCTGAAGCTGAGAAGACGGCGGAGGTAGGGACGAGGCCGGGAGCGCTTATCCTCAACCAATATGGGGTTCCGAGGTGCGGAAGCTCAAACTGAAGAAGTGCGTAGTCCCAGGTGCGCGGTCTCAACCCGAAGGAAACGAGACTCGGGCCAAGGCCAGAGGGTTTATCCCCAACCAATCGCAGTCTCAGGGGCCTGGTTGTGCAAAGAGCTATGTGTGTCGACACGCGAAGCTGTTGCCCAAGAGAACTTGCCCAAGAGCGACAAGGCTCGCCGAGACCTGCGCAGTGTCCAACAGGACCCCGCCATGTTGTCAGAGCAGTCTTTAGGGCGATACATCGTCAGCGACGACGTGGAGCTGCCAGAGGATCGCGTCCAGTACAGCGACGTGAACCTACTTCGACAAGCCCTCCTCGACGCCCGTGAGTTCCTTCGCTCAGGCTATACGGAAATCCACTTCCGAGTCTGGAGGCGCGACGAACCGATGAAGCTTCTCTGCGCACGGAGTGCCAAGCAGCATGAGGGCACGATGGAACTCTACCTCACCTACGAGGACGGCGGCGAGGAAGAGGGCCTGCTGCATCCGGCAGGAACCGGTTGCACCGGACCGTTGTTCGCGTTTGCCAGCAGACGCCAAGACGGCATTCCAGCTCCTCGACGACGGCTGGGACGTGCTCATACAATCGTCTTCTTCAAGAACGATCTGGTGGAGTGGACGGCGGCTCGCGGCGAGAGAGAACGTTTTAGTGTCACCAGAGTAGTTTTAGACTGCGCAATGCGCTGAACGGCTCGAGCTTCACTCACCTAGGCGAGGCAAAAAGGTGCAAGGAGGGCCTGGTGCGTCACATGCGGCCGCGCTCCTCCATCATGTCGCAGTCGGGCATACAGGTGCTCAGTCTCAGCGGGAACAACGTTGGAGGCGGAGACACGGACGAGTCCCGAAGGCTCGCATGCCGAGAGATTCGCCTATCCTCAACCAATACGGCGTCGCAGGTACTCCGGGAGCAAGGCCAGAGCGCTATGGGGCTCGGGGTCCGCGGTCCCAGCCCGAAGAAGGCCGCCGGAACGAGACTGGAACGTTTATCCTCAACCACTGTGGGATTCGAGATCAGCAGCCCAGAAGCCGAAGAAGGCGAAGGCGGGGACGAGGCCGGAGCGCTTATCCTCAACCAAGATGGGGTTTCAGGTGCTTGGTCTGAAGCTGAGAAGACGGCGGAGGCCGGAGCGCTTATCATCAACCAAGATGGGGTGTCAGGTGCATGGTTTGAAGCTGAGAAGACGGCGGAGGCGGGGACGAGGCCGGAGCGCTTATCATCAACCAAGATGGGGTCTCAGGTGCGTGGTCTCAAGCCGAAGACGGCGGAGGCGGGGACGAGGCCGGAGCGCTTATCATCAACCAAGATGGGGTCTCAGGTGCGTGGTCTCAAGCCGAAGAAGGCGAAGGCGGGGACGAGGCCGGAGCGCTTATCCTCAACCAAGATGGGGTGTCAGGTGCTTGGTCTGAAGCTGAGAAGACGGCGGAGGTAGGGACGAGGCCGGAGCGCTTATCCTCAACCAAGATGGGGTTTCAGGTGCTTGGTCTGAAGCTGAGAAGACGGCGGAGGCGGGGACGAGGCCGGAGCACTTATCCTCAACCAATATGGGGTCTCAGGTTCTTGGTCTGAAGCTGAGAAGACGGCGGAGGCGGGGACGAGGCCGGAGCGCTTATCCTCAACCAAGATGGTGTCTCAGGTGCGTGGTCTCAAGCCGAAGACGGCGGAGGCGGGGACGAGGCCGGAGCGCTTATCCTCAACCAAGATGGGGTGTCAGGTGCATGGTCTGAAGCTGAGAAGACGGCGGAGGCGGGGACGAGGCCGGAGCACTTGTCCTCAACCAATATGGGGTCTCAGGTGCGTGGTTTTAAGCTGAGAAGACGGCGGAGGCGGGGACGAGGCCGGAGCGCTTATCCTGAACCAAGATGGGGTTTCAGGTGCTTGGTCTGAAGCTGAGAAGACGGCGGAGGTAGGGACGAGGCCGGAGCGCTTATCCTCAACCAAGATGGGGTGTCGGGTGCATGGTTTTAAGCTGAGAAGACGGCGGAGGCGGGGACGAGGCCGGAGCGCTTGTCCTCAACCAATATGGTGTCCCAGGTGCATGCTCCCAAGCACGAGACTTCAACCTCAAGAAGAACGAGGCCGGGACGAGACTGGAGGGCGTATCCTCAAAGAATATGCGGTCCCAGGTGCATGTTCCCAAGCGCGAGGCCTCAAATTCACAAAGACAAGGCCGGGATAGGCGTACACTTCACAAGTCGTCGTGATGAAGAGATCGCACAGTCAGCTATGCACGCATGTTCCAGACTAGTCGGATCATGGACCGGTGGCTTTGAAAGGGAGGCAAGCGAGCCTGTGGCACAGCTGCAACTGGGGCTCAGGCGTGCGATAGAAACCAGTAGTTCACGACAGCTCGACGCGATGGATACACCGGTACTTTTCAGCGCCTTAAACTGCACTTGCCGGACGGCAGCAAAGAAATGGACACGTCTACCCCACAACCTGAAGCTGGCCATTTCGCAGTTCACGAGACGCTCGGATTGGGCACTGAGGCTAGGACACCTAGCGCTGATCGGTGCACTCTCCAGGTACCCGATGCTGGCTTCGAGAGCCACAGACGACTTCGACTTTGGCCGGCGACTCCAATACTTTTCAGTCCAGGATCTACAAGGGCTTCCGAGAAACACCAAGAAGACCATCCGTCTCTGCATCGCGAACCTTCGGGCTTTCGAGAAGAAGAAGAAGCAGAAGGAGAGGACAGAGCTCCGGAAGCAGAAGCAGGAGGAACTCCTGAGACGGAAATTCGAAGCAACAAAGATTGTGGTCGAGCGCGCGGCCGAAGCTCTGATAATGATCAGAGAACACATTCGCCGTAGGACACCTAGCTGAAGGACATTGTTTCACACGTGACACAGCAATAACACGGGAAGAAAGGTGAGTTGCGAGAATACATAGATCGTCTTACGTCAGTGTCCGGTGACATTATCTGCAAGCACGATGGGATTGCGAGGCTTGCCTGAAGAAGACAGAAGCAAGGACACGGCCGGGAGGGCTTATCCTCGACCAATATGGGGTTCCGAGATCTGGAAGCTCAGGCTGAAGAAGACGGAGGCGAGGACAAGGCCGGGAGGGCTTATCCTCAACCAATATAAGGTTGCAAGGCGTGAGAGCTCAAGCTGAACGAGATGGATGCAAGGACACGGCCGGGAGGGCGTAACCCCAACCAATAAGGGGTTCCGAGGCGTGGGATCTCAAGCAGAAGACGGCGGAGGCGAGGACGAGGCCGGAGCACTTATCCTCAACCAAGATGGAGCTTCAGGTTCTCAAGCAGGAGACGGCGGAGGCGGGGACGAGGCCGGAGCACTTATCCTCAACCAAGATGGGGTGTCAGGTGTGTAGTCTCAAGCCGAGAAGACGGCGGAGGCCGGGACGAGGCCGGAGCACTTATCCTCAACCAAGATGGGGTTTCAGGTGCATGGTTTTAAGCTGAGAAAACGGCCGAGGCGGGGACGAGGCCGGAGCGCTTATCCTCAACCAATATGGGCTCCACGAGGCCGGAGCGCTTATCCTCAACCAACATGGGCTCTCAGGTGTGTGGTCTCAACCCGAAGAAGGCGGAGGCAGGGACGAAGCCGGGAAGCCTTGTCCTCAACCAATATGGGCTCCCAGGTGCGTGGTCTCCACCCGAAGAAGGCGGAGGCGGGGACGAAGCCGAAGAGCTTATCCTCAACCAAGATGGGGTTTCAGGTGCTTGATCTGAAGCTGAGAAGACGCCGGAGGCCGAGACGAAGCCGGAGCGCTTATCCTCAACCAAGATGGGGTTTTAGGTGCTTGGTCTGAAACTGAGAAGACGGCGGAGGCGGGGACGAAGCCGGAGCACTTATCCTCAACCTAGATGGGGTTTCAGGTGCTTGGTCTGAAGCTGAGAAGACGGCGGAGGTAGGGACGAGGCCGGAGCGCTTATCCTCAACCAAGATGGGTTGTCAGGTACACGGTTTTAAGCGGAGAAGACGGCGGAGGCGGGGACGAAGCCAGAGCGCTTATCCTCAACCAAGATGGGGTTTCAGGTGCTTGGTCTGAAGCTGAGAAGACGGCACAGGCGGGGACGAAGCCGGAGCGCTTAAGTCTCGGGTGCATGGTCTCAAGCCGAGGAAGACGGCGGAGGCGGGGACGAGGCCGGAGCACTTGTCCTCAACCAATATGGGGTTTCAGGGAAGGCGGAGGCGGGGACGAAGCCAGAGCGCTTATCCTCAACCAAGATGGGGTTTCAGGTGCTTGGTCTGAAGCTGAGAAGACGGCACAGGCGGGGACGAAGCCGGAGCGCTTAAGTCTCGGGTGCATGGTCTCAAGCCGAGGAAGGCGAAGGCGGGGACGAGGCCGGAGCGCTTATCCTCAACCAAGATGGGGTTTCAGGTGCACGGTTTTAAGCTGAGAAGACGGCGAAGGCACGGACGAGGCCGGAGTGCTTGTCCTCAACCAATATGGGGTTTCAGGGAAAGCGGAGGCAGGGACGAGGCCGGAGCGCTTATCCTCAACCAAGATGGGGTTTCAGGTGCACGGTTTTAAGCTGAGTAGACGGCGAAGGCACGGACGAGGCCGGAGTGCTTGTCCTCAACCAATATGGGGTTTCAGGGAAAGCGGAGGCGGGAACGAGGCCGGAGCGCTTATCCTCAACCAAGATGGGGTTTCAGGTGCACGGTTTTATGCTGAGTAGACGGCGAAGGCACGGACAAGGCCGGAGTGCTTGTCCTCAACCAATATGGGGTTTCAGGGAAAGTGGAGGCAGGGACGAGGCCGGAGCGCTTATCCTCAACCAATGTGAGGTCCGAGGTGTGCGGTCTTAACCTGAGGAACGCAAGCCAGGGACGAGGACGGAGGGTTTATCCTCAACCAATATGGGGTCCCAGTCCGGGACGAGGCTGGAGGGCTCATCCTCGACCCACATGGGGTCTTGGGTGCGTGAGAAGGCGAAGGCGGGGACGAGGCCGGAGCGCTTATCCTCAACCAAGATGGGGTTACAGGTGCACGGTTTTAAGCTGAGTAGACGGCGAAGGCACGGACGAGGCCGGAGTGCTTGTCCTCAACCAATATGGGGTTTCAGGGAAAGCGGAGGCGGGGACGAGGCCGGAGCGCTTATCCTCAACCAATGTGAGGTCCGAGGTGTGAGGTCTTGACCTGAGGAACGCAAGCCAGGGACGAGGACGGAGGGCTTAGCCTCAACCAATATGGGGTCCCAGTCCGGGACTAGGCTGGAGGGCTCATCCTCGACTCACACGCTTATCCTCAACTAATGTGGGGTTCAAGGTGCGTGGTCTCAACTCGAAAAAGGATGGAAGCGGGGACTCCACTCGAAGAAGACCAAGCGGGGACGAGGCCGGAGTACTTATAATCCTCGACCAATATGGGGTCCCAGGTGCGTGGTCTCCACTCGAAGAGGACTGAGGCGGGGACAAGGCCGGGGCGAGCATCCTCAACCAATATAGGGTCCCAGGTATGTGGTCTCCACCGGGAAGAGTCCATGAAGTACAAGCAGGCTCATTGGAATGTCTGTGGAATGCCTGCCCGAACTGGGGCACAAGTTGAAAGCAGGCCATGCATCTGTTCTGCGCAGCTGCAAGGTTCAAGCTGAAACCCCAGTCTCCAGTCAATTTCTCCTCATGGATAAGCCAACTCTGCTGGCTTGTCTTACCTGTACCTGCACAAGTGCACAGAAGTGGCAGCGGTTGTCCGCGTACCTGAGGGGGCTGATCCAGGAGTACACCTCGAAATCAGATTGGGCCCTGAAGTTACCATGCCTGTCGCTACTAGGATGCCTGGTCAAATACCCAAGGATCGCCAAGAAACTGGCGAGCGATCTTGACTTCGCACGGCGCCTGCGATGCTTCCCCGCCGATGCGTTCACGGGGCTGAATAAATACGTCAAGAAAGATATCCGACTATGCCTCAACAACTTGCAGACTGTCGAACGAAAGCAAAAGGCAAGGCTCAGAAGACGAAAACAAGATGAGATCTGGGAGCGGAGGCATGCGGCAGCAAAGCGCCTGTCCGAACGTACAACCGCGGCTCTGGCAATGGTGGTAGAAGCCATTCGCCGGAAAAGGCTCGGCTGAAGTATGTCGTTTCACTCATCGAAATACAGCGAAATGATCGGAAAATCCGAGCTTTACTCGGTTCCAAGCCGCTGTAGTCCCATTATCTCCATAGTAACATAGTACACGCTTAGTGGAACGCACGGAAGGCCGGCAAAGAGAGAAGGCTGGAAGGTCCGCCAACCCGGCCAGTTGGCTTATACTGAATTCGTGCAGCGTGTTAGGGTGCTGCTATACCGTTTCCCACCATGTCCCAGGTGTATAGCCTCCACTCCAAGAGGACAGAGGCCGGGACGAGACCGAAGCGCTTATCCGCACCCAATATGGAGTCCCAGGTGTGCACTTCCAACTTGAAGAAGGCGGAGGCGGGGACGAGGCCGGAGCGCTTATCCTCGCCCACTATATGGAGCCCCAGGTGCGTGGTCTCCACTCGAAGAAGACTGAGGCGGGGACAAGGCCGAAGCGCTTATCCTCAACCCATATGGGGTCCGAGGTGCGTGGTCTTCACTCCAAGAGGACGTAAGTGGGGACAACATCAGAGCGCATATCCTCAAGCAATATGGGGTTCCAGGTGCGTGGTCTCCACTCCAAGAGGACCGGAGCAGGGACGAGGCCGGCGCTTAACCTCAAGCAATACTATGGGGGTTCCAGGTGCGTGGTCTCCACTCCAAAAGGACGAAGGCCGGGACAAGGTCGGAGCGCTTATCCTCAACTAATATGGGGTCCCAGGTCTGTGGTCTCCACTCCAAGAGGACCGAGGCGGGGACAAGGCCGGAGTGCTTATCCTCACACAATACGGGATCCCAAGTGCGTGGTCTCCACTCGAAAAGACCAGGGCGGGGACGAGGTCGGAGCGCTTATCCTCAACTAATATAGAATGCCAGGTTCATGGTCTCTACTCGAAAAGGATGGAAGCGGAGACAAAGCCGGAACACTTGTCCTCAACCAATACAAGGTCCCGGGTGCGTGGTTTCCGCTCCAAAAGATCGGGGACGAGGCCGGAGCGCTTATCCTCAACTAATATGGAATGCCAGGTTCATGGTCTCCACTCGGAAAGGATGGAAGCGGGGACAAAGCCGGAACACTTGTTCTCAACCAATACAGGGTCCCGGGTGCGTGGTTTCCGCTCCAAAAGATCGGGGACGAGGCCGGAGCGCTTATCCTCAACCAAGATGGGGTTTCAGGTGCACGGTTTTAAGCTGAGAAGACGGCGGAGGCGCGGACGAGGCCGGAGTGCTTGTCCTCAACCAATATGGGGTTTCAGGGAAAGGGCGGGGACGAGGCCGGAGCGCTTATCCTCAGCCAATGTGGGGGCCGAGGCGTGTGGTCTTAACTTGAGGAACGCAAGCCAGGGACGAGGATGGAGGGCTTATCCTCAACCAATATGGGGTCCCAGTCCGGGACGAGGCTGGAGGGCTCATCCTCGACCCACATGGTCTCTCGGGTGCGTGGCCCCAAGTGAGGGTTCTCATTCTTTCGAAGACAGAGCCAAGGACAAGGCCGGGAGGGCTTATCCTCAATCAATATGGGGTTCCGAGGTGTGGGAGCTCAATCTAGTAAAGCATCTCTAGATTTAACGGTCCGCAGTGATGTCCGCAGCGCTTACAGGTCTCCAAACTCAAGCACCCCTGTAAACTTCCGACTGCCCTTGTTGCCTTTCCACGATGGTCGCCATCCGCTTCCTGAAGTGGACGCTCACCTACGAGCACATATCAGGCGAGCCTGTAGTATGGAAGCCAAGTGCACACAACCCCCCCCCCACTTCCGTGCCGGGCAGGCACCGAAGGGCGTCGCGGCCTCGGGGCAACCTGCACACCAATGTACACACTAAGAACACTGGCCTGCCCGCCAGTCGACCGTAGACTGAGGCGTATGCCGAAAGAAGGAAATCTTATATTTGTACGCGATCATCGGGCCTTTGACCTCCTGCAGGCTCGAATCAGATGATAGAAGGTGTGACAAACAGCTGGATGTGCGCAGGCGTGTTGTCTTCTCGACGCCCGCACAGCAGACGTCCGATGTACACGGAGGCTGGGCGCTGAAGCAAGTGGCTGGCTTCGGAGTGCTCGAAGTGGGCTTCAACTGTCGGGGCTCCCGCGGCCGCAACATCTGGCTGGCACTGGTGGCAGGCCGGCTCTTCCGGTGTCGCATATAGGAAGCACGACACGCAAAACGCATGCCCCAACCTCCAGGGCCGGACGGCGTCTTCTTCGGTGCGCATCAGAACGGATGGGACTACGTGCGAGCGACAAGCGTGTCTGTTGACTGGCACGACATTCCCTTGACCTCGGGTCTCGAATATGGAGCCACGCCGTAGCCAAACACGCCGGACGAAGCCGAGGACCCGCCGGGAGGAAAGGGCCATCGCTAGCACCTGCAGTAGTTCCCAAAGGCTCCAAAGCATCGTCATGGCCAATACTTTCGTTTTGGGTGAGTGCTGGGCTATTTCTGCCAAGCGGCGTTGCGTCTGGGGTCTAAATGTCGTCTGTGCCAAATGTAGCATCTCTGCAACTTTTGGGAAGAGTCTATTGACGAAAAAGTATGCCATACTACTTAAGAATACCGCCGGCCCTCATCCCTCAATATACATGCTACAATACTTACCATTCCCGACAGAGCTGGAGACGAGAGAGAGCACGAAAGGACACAGACACAAACACACCAAACACATATATTGTACACGAAACACGACTGGCCCACCCACATGCACATACATATATACATGTATATGTATATATATATATATATACACATATATATATATACATATGAAACAAAAGCCCTTCCACAAGAAACACCTACACCCACCCACCCACATGTACACACAAACACACATAACACACACCCACACAGACACACACACACATGTATAACAGCACACACACACACAACCACACAACACACAGAAACTCACACCCACACCGGTACCTATATACACACCGACACATGTATATACATATATTATACATACATACATATACTGGTCGCTGCTCGTTGCAGCTCAGATTCGCCGCTGGGCATGCATTAAGGCTTTCGGGTATTAGTATAGTGCTTGGGTTTGGGGCTTTAAGGCCGGGTGATGCAAAGTGCCGCTCAAATGCAAGCTTCGGTTCAGAATTATAATTATTGAAAAGCCTTAAAATAAACCCAGCACCCTAAAACCTTCAAGCACCGAAACCCCTAAACCCCAAGACCCCCAACATCCTAAAACCCAAAACCCTAGCAAGGGTTTGCGGGGTTTGGGTCTGCTGCAGCCGATCGCGACATTTCCCCCGCTCTGCGTGCGAACTCCACGTCTTGCGATTAAGGGCCCAGGCCAATAGTCTCGAGCATTACCGTACCGGTACCGTGCAGCGGTGCTTACGTATACTATATACCCCTAGCCGATGGCTTATAGGCCCCGTTTGCAAATAGCAACATCGATCAGCGGCTCAGTCCGTGGAAGTTTGCAGCCTCGGCTGCTTCTCGAAAGCCTGCATCCCTGAATCGAAACCTGCATAATTGAAGCAAGGTGCCATAAATAAAATCGTCGCAACGTGGATCTCTCGAGGCTGCGTGTGTGCACCGAGCTTGCTATGCCTGGGATCCCAGATAGTGCGAGTACTAGGCGGAGCACAGTAGTAGCAAGTAGTAGTGGTACTAGTAGTATATATAGTCGCAGCAGCAGTAGGAGCCGAGGAGGCGGTGGTAGTCGTAGGTAGGTGGCAGTGGTGGTACCATGGGTGGTGGTGGGTGGTGACTAGTGTACTCGTGGTACCGGTACCATACTAGTATGTACTTCTCGTGATAGTGGTACTATAGAGTTGTAAAGTACTACTATATAGCCGTAGCCATATAGTAGTATATAGCATAGGTACTGGTACGGTACGTAGTAGTAAAACGTTAATTAAATGCCAAGCTTCCAACCAGTCGGCCGTTGAAGTCTTCGCTCGCGAACGTGTGGTAATAACGGTAGTTGTACTTCTCCACGGAGCAGAAACGGATGAGCTCGAGGATGCCCTTGGCCCGGGGGTCGTGGCTAGCTACACATGTAATTAGGGTTTTAAGGGATTTATCGCGCTAGGGTGGGCTTGGGCGTTTGCTTACGGATTTTGTCCGAATTCGCGTTGGGGAGCTCGGGATTAATATGGTTTAAAGAAAGCCCTTCGAGAAAACCATTGATGCAAGCGGCATGAAGCTTGGGGCGGATCTGAAACAGCGGCCTTGAGCCAGAGCTATGCATCTTCGCGAGCCAGCCGTAGGCGTTCAGGAACTCATCCTTGAAAGTCCAAGCCCCCCAAATATTTACTATATGTGTACTTATTAAATAACCCAAGCCTATAGCCATATATATATATATATATATATATATATATATATTCGCTAAATGATAGCTAGGAACCGTGCAGTGCCGCATTCGCTGGATCTCCGCGTCCGTAAGGTATCGGCCGGCCTGCTCGGAGCAGTTCATCAAGTCTGCCAGGTAGAACCTCGCTGTCTTGGGAATCTAGGGCCCGGATTTAGTTGAAGGCTTTTATAATTAAGGCTTCTTAATTTAATTAGGGTTCAGGGTTTAGAGCAAGGTTTAGGGCTTGCTGGGTTTCTGAGCAACATGCATTGGCCCATAAGCCGCATTGAGCGATCACCGGCATGTTCATCTTCGTAGAGCAGCATCGTCGTCCGGTGAGCCAGCCAGCTTGTAATAACCCTCGCCTCGATACATATACACGGCATCATGGATGCATATTGTCGTCTATTTGCAGCTAGTGGCGTTATAAGCTTTAGCCGCCATCTCGAGCTCGCCGGCTTTGAACCGGAGGAACTTGGAAGTAAACTTCGGCTGAGAATGCCTGAGATTCTTAAGCTTCCAGTCTGGGTACTTATAATACTGTTCGGAAAATTACTTTATATCAGCAAGGGCTCAGAACCTTTCGCTCCTTACACCACGAACAAAAGTCGCGGTAAGCGTTGGCCAGCATGGCATTCACATCGTCGCCAGCCCAAATCCCCTGCTACATGGTACATATTGTAGACACAGATTACTTAAGGTTTAGGCTTTGGGGTGTAGGCTTTGGGGCTTGGCGGGTGTGGTTTTGGAATTGTGCCTTCTGCATCAGTAGGTCGATGCACCCGGCACCAGCCCACAGCATAATGCCAAGATTTATGGTGTGTAGGGAGCACCAGCGAAGCATCGTGGGCCTCCATCCGAGGATCTCCGAGATGACACCTGCGTGCAAACATTGGTTTTTGCTTCGAGCCTGGACAAGCAATTAAACTAGTTTGTGATTGCGGGCTTCTACGGGGCAATTTATAATTGTAAGATGTAACACTTTCGGATTTCAATCCAGCGGCTCGTCCTTCCACCATCATCCACCAAGCTAGTGCAGGCCTCGGCAAAGTTCTCGGGTGTCCGCCTGGGCATACTTTCCATTGTTGACATTCGAGGGTCATCGAAGAAAGAGTCCAGACGGGCGTGGCAGTGGTGGCAGACGGCGTTGCTGCTCCATCCGATTTTTTTAAACCCGAGCCATTCCTAGGTAGCGACTACAAAACACCCAGAAAGAGAGAGAGAGAGAGAGAGAGAGAGAGAGAGAGAGAGAGAGAGAGAGAGAGAGAGAGAGAGAGAGAGAGAGAGAGAGAGAGAGAGAGAGAGAGAGAGAGCGGGAGCGAGAACAACAAAATCGGCTTCGGGGTCTAGGGTCTAGAGCAGATATCATGATGAATCGAAACCGGTTCCGATACAATTCATACCCGCCAAGTCTCTTTGTAAAACTTCCAGTCTGCCCTTAGCTCGGTAAGAGCGGCCAGCGGTGGCTCCATGTCGGGCTCGCAGACCTCTCCTCGGAACAAAATGTTCAAGGAGTCGACCACCTCAGCACAGGAACATATCGTTCAGGTTTCGGTTGGGGGTTGGACGTGCATGCCATCGGAATTTATTTGGGTCCAAGCGACAGGCCTCATAAAGGCCTGAATGGTCGAAAACCCGGTCGACAAAGACTGCCAGGGATGATATCTGACATGTACAAGGCTAGATAGGGTGGGTTTAGCTTATTTAGAGGGTGTTACTATGTCGGGTTTCACACCTCCCTCAGGATCCACAAGGGGAAGTGCGTGGTCATCGAATGCGTCCGCTCATCTAAGACCAGGCCTAGACTCACCTGGGTGAGTTTCTCTTCATTTGTCCATTTCACATCATCGGCATAGAGATAGACTGGCAAATGTTTGCAGTTTCCCCCCTGCTCAGCGAGTGGATGTTCGGGGCCCCATTCCGCGTGCGTGAACATGTGGCTCCAATATTCCCGAATCGCTGCAAAGTCGGGCACAACGAGGTTGTGCTTCAGCAAGTGAGGAATCAATCGATGAGGGAGGACCACCGGTAATTTCCTGAATCCCAACTAGCCACGACCACACTCTTGGTTACGAATGATATTAGGGTACGGTTACTGGGCTTCAGGGTTTATAATCGAGGGTTCGGGGGCCTAGGGGTTAGGGGCTGATTGTTCGGAAGCTTTACACGAGCACATTCGGCAATCGCCTCATCACCACAGTGGGGTCCGTGGCACTCTTCATCATGGGGACCTCCACCGTATCCATCGGCACCTGGGTTTAGGTTCGGGCTTTAGGGTTTTAACGTTCCAGGGTCGAGGCTTTATTGTTGGGAATCTTCGGCATCTGAGTCGATCGCCATATCCATAGCTCCATCGAGGATTCTCAACGAATCTCGCTGCAGATTCTGCGGATGTTTCCCAGTAGCACCTGCCAGCCGAAGCCTCTGTGCTGTCCGTGGCAAAGTTCCGCCAGCTGCTTGAAGCTCCTGCATCGACGGGGGATATAACGAGTTCGAGGGGATGTTACTAGTACATTGACACGGAGCCAATCCTTATGGGACTCTTCCAAGAACTGCCTGGCTCCGGCGAAGCTGAGGTCCTGGATTGTCGACAGCTGCGAACGGAATCGAGGCAGGTTTGATCTGGATTGGCTTAGCACCGGACCCCTTTACCAGTGCATCGGAGGATGTGTCGCCCCAGTGGCCCCAGGTCGTCGTTCATAGATTCTGCGACAGGGGGTTGTGCTAGCTAGAGGTGCATGTTTATCGGCTGCCATTCAAAGCATAAGACCTCTAGAGTGCATTTTCGGATCCATGTGCGTTGAGAAAGCTTCCCCGGCACATTCGGGGGTCTGGCATCGAGATGCTTGAAATCTGCTAGCCGCCATGGGCCGTGAGACCCAGGTTCCAGCCCGGGCCCACAAAATTTGTGTGCACTTCTAACTGGAAAAGAGCACGAGGATCCAAGCTGCTAGTCTGCTTCTAGAACTAGCAAAGCGGCAACTCGAAAT